CAGCTTTTAATTTTTTATTCATTTTGAGTCACATCACTTCTCATATTTTTTATCTATAAAAAGACAAAATAGACTAAAAAAACTAAAAAATTAACTTTTTACTAATTTCCCAAAACACTCCAAAATGCCCAATGGGCTATATAATTTGTGTACTTGACTGTATAATTTGCTACCACAGACGAGGAAGACAAGTTTTGATACAAGTTAGAAGACCACACATAAAGCATAGATCATTGCACAAGTTGTTTTTTTTTTTTTTTCTGGTAACAATATTACAGAATAAGAAAATAAAAAATAGCTAGAAAATTAATTGGGTGACCCAAATTTATTTTGAATGCATCTTGTTACACTAAATTTGAATCCACATTGAATATTTATCAATTGTGGTGCAATTTTTTTCTAATTACATAATTTCTTTCTTGATTTATGAATGCTTGTATGGTTACATAATGTGTATTTACCATCATTTTTTTTACTAAAAAAAAGCATGCTCTGCGAGGATATTATTGTATCTGTAAGTCTTAATTCTGGAATAATTGATTGTCAATCAGATTTAACCCAACTGATAAAAAGAGATCCACCATCGGAGCACACAATAAACCTCACTCGCATGCCATAATAAAAAGTAAAATCTCAATTAAAATACAATGCAATAAATCGAATTTATTTGTGCCCTGAGATTTGAGCTCTACCCTTTTGTGTGGAAGGCAGGTGCCTTATCCACTTGGAAGTTGGCAGGTGCCTTATCCACTTGCAAGTTATATGTACCGTGCCATCATTTGAAAATGAATTTTGGGATCATTTGAAAATGGGTTTTGTGAAATTACTTTAAACTTATTCAGTGCTGTCTGTCTTCAAAATTTATACTGATCACACAACCATGAACTCATGTTTAGCGCGTGACCACACTCAATTATAGTATTTTATTTTTGATTCGATCAATCTGAAGTTGGAACTAGCTAGGAACCATTAAGCAACCGCAGTCAAAAGGGTCTCCCGACATTCAAACACAAGACAATCACCCCCATAAAATAAGCAAATACGTATAAATGCATTTATATAAACACACATTTTAATATGAAAATTAATTTACACAAACACAAATTTCATACCCAAAAAAAAATCAATCAAAATAATACGGCGATAACATTCTTGAAAAACTATAATTATAGACATATTTGTTTACAATAAAAAAAAAAAATCATAAAAGATGGGTGTTCTTTTTTTTTTTAATAACCAAAAATCATATCTTAAGTAGGATTTTTTAGACCCACCTTAGATGGGTAAACTTAACAAAAATGATAGAGACTGCCAATTTTTAGGACCATTACAACTCTCAAAGTGATTCATACTATTTATGATGTGGGGCCCACACATATATAAGTGGTGTAGACCACTTTGACAGCTGTGGAGATATCTAAAAATGAATAGAATAGATAAGCGTCGAAATTAATTGGACAATTGGGAAGCAAACATACTTATCATCAGGAACAAACATAATATCATTCTATATATAAATTTTATGCACAGATTTTATTTTTAAATCATTAATATTTTAATATATAACTCATTAGCTAATACTGAGTGATTACAACAACCACTCATCCAAAAGTCCAGGCCGTTGTGGCCAAAAGTTCACGTGAAATGTCACTCAAATTTGTAGTGATGGCCACCACCACCGTCACCCCACCACCACCCCACCACCAATTTTGGCAGTTGTGGAGAGAGCCATGCATGCACACATTTTCTGTCTATCTCACACGTGTCTCTCCCTGACATAGACACTGGACATTAACACGTGTGGCCACGCCCATGGAAATGTTGACTTCGACTCCCCCAACCCCAACCCCACCCACACGTGAGGCATATCTACCTTGTTTTCTTGCCGGGCCCCCAAATACCAACAGGCCCATTCGGCCCAGTCTGGGCCCAATACATTGTCATCAGCAGTAGTATTTTTTTTCCCAGTGATAGCTCCTCCCAGATTTTTAGTGTCGCACCTTGCAACCCCAACCACTGATTGTTTCAATAAAATTGGAATTGAATCTTAGCCGTTGATTTTGGACTGATGTTCAAAAGGTCAACGAAATGAGTGGCTTTGATTTGACTACAACGTCGGACCAATACTATATAATTAACAATAATTATTTTGTTGGTGGCTTCAACAACATGATTAATAAATAATTAGGGGAATATCTCTCTTGTTGCTATGTCACGTAACCACTAGTTGTATATAGTCAATATAAGAATTTTGGGGCTTGTTAATTTAAAAATTGATCGCGATTAAGACTAACTTTGGTTGAAATATTAAAAATTTTGTAGCAAGTTCATTGTGACAATGATACATTTTATTTTGTAAATGGGTTTCATTTTAAAAGTGTTTTCTATGTTGCCCAGATTCGTGATAACTGAATTATTAGTAGTAATTGTTATTATTATCCAAATGAAGTTGTTGACAAGTTTATGTCTATAGGTCTTGGTAAACATCTAGCATTGTTGAATTTAACAACATTAATTTTATTTTCTCTTTTACTTTAATTATTTAAATCTAAGTGACAAAACTACACGAAAAGATGAGAAGGATGAGGATAAGGATAGGGTGTAGGAGGTGTTGCGGATCTTGGGCACACCAGGGGACACTCACAAGCAAAAACACAAGACTTTTAACGTGGTTCAGCAAACCGGTCTACGTCCACGGGAGCGATGTTGTTATATATCAACAAATGGAGGAGATTACACACTCTCAACTCACTGTCTCTCTATATAACACACTCTCTCACACTCTCTTGCTTGCTATGATGCCCTATATTCAACTCACCATCACTTCTCTATATATAGAGATTACAAAGGCAAGAGGTACCCTTTGAAATGAGCTGGCTGCCAGCCCATTTCGGTGGCTTTTCAGATTGCTCATGGCCTCATGGCCTCATGGCCAACTCACATGGCTTCCCCACCATGTAGCTGGCTGCTACTTTCCTTCACATGGCCAGAATCTCTGTAGCCAACTCAACTTGGGTTGATCTCCTACAGGAGGAAAAATTAAGAATATAAATTGTCACAAAGGAGACAAATTTAGACAAAAGATTAATAATAAAAAAAATTAACAACCACCATGACTCATTCTAAGCCTTATATCATTGGTCTTGTCTCTCCAAACTGCGACGACCATTTGGCTTCTAAATCATAGTTAATAAAATTAGGATTTGCAATTTCCAACATGATTGTTACATAAATCCGTTTTAATATAAACATAGAAAGAGACAGTACTTTAATATAAGTTGTTTCGTGTTTGGAATGATATTGATTATGTTAATCTTAGGTTTAGAGAAGATGGGAACAGCCACTATAGGTGGATTTGAAATTTATTGTGGGTGTTTGAGAAGTTGTTGTTTTAGTAGGTTAAAATTTTTGTGTTTGGGAAGATGATTCGATTGTGAGAGAAAAAATGAAATGATTACGAATTTGACATGATAGTTTGTCTTATTAACTATTTTAACCCCTTTTTTTTTATTTTTTATTTTTTGTAAACTTTTGCCTAAAGAAGGCTAAAAATTTTATTGCCAACACCTCCATCATCTCTCTCTCTTTTTTAATGATTTGTGTTGTTTTCGAAAGAGTTGGTGAGGAACTATAAACAATGAAGCATGTAAAATTATTAGAATGGAATCTTCTAACTCCTTTTATTATATTAGTATCCAAGTACATGTGATATGTGCCTAATTCAAGTTAAATAAAATGCAAATGAAAACAAAAGAACAAGTAAGAACCAAAAGAAAACCCAGAAGTACAAGTTGGAGAAGTAAAAACCAGTAGGAAACAAGAATTTATTTATTTTTAAATTCATTTATATATATATATATATATATATCTCTAAAAACCAGTAGGAAACAAGAATTTATTTATTTTTAAATTCATTTATATATATATATATATATATCTCTTCATTTCTCTAAGCCAACTTGTATTCTTGTAGTGATGGGTGTTCAAGTTGATCATGGTTTTTGGTTTTACTTATTTACTCACTTTGATCGTACAAGGAAGGTGCTTGTTAGCATCACCGATTTTTTTTGTTCCTCACAATTTCCTTCTGATAGTTTTATAGATAGTTTCATTAATTTATTAGCTATTTCCTTTATCTATACTATTATGAAAAAGCTACAACCAAGTTGATGAAACATTGTAATAGTTTTTTTTTTTTTTTTTCTGAAAATATCCACACTGGAGCTGTTACATAAGAATAGTTATGGCACAAAAAAATTACTTCATTTTTTTTCCCTAAAAAATCTCTCAACAGCTTTGGTTGTAGATTTTTATAGCGCACACATTTTTCTTCAAAATTGCCCGTTTACCATCTTGTTAGAGCTACTTCAGAAAACCCTCCCAAAGTCAACTATGTTTTTTAGTTTGTAGATTGGGCTTTCATTGGACCCATGAACTAGTTACTTTGTAGGCCTGTTTAGGCCTGTTTAGAAGTGGGTAATCTTGCTGGACAACCTATAGGATTACGGGTTTGAAAAAGTTTAATTATCCATAATTGGGTATCAAAAAATTGACACAAAAAATAAATAGATGATTGAGATTCAAATATTGTATTATGGGTCCATGTATAAATTAAATTTGGACCACACATTCAAAAAATTTAGATAGAATTCTGGACATTGTAGTGTGATTTTGGGCTATAAAATCTTATATTTCACATATTATACTTCTTACAAAGGCTTTTTTTGAGATGTGTTAGAATAACACATCTTTTTATCTTATTTGAATCATTTTAATTTTTATTTAAATTACATTATCTCTCTATCATAGTTCACATCTTTTTATAAAAAAAATTAAAAAATATACTTATTATCATTCTAAACAATCCATAAACAAGTCACAACTGAACAAGGCCCAACGCCTCTCCAACCCAAAAATAACGAAATCGAGGCCCATCCCAAAATCCAAAAACACAGCCCGGTCCGTTTTCACACCAGTCATAAAAATCTGGGCAAAAATACAAAAAAATCCTACCTTGCTAACGCTCTCTCTGTATCTCTCTCTCTCTCTCTCTCTCTCTCTCTCTCTGAACTCGAAGATTTCAATTTCAATGGCTTCCTGCTGTAACGTTTCGTTTGTCAACCCCAAAACCCTAATTGTCTCAACTTCTCACCTATTCCAAAACCCTAGAGCCTCAATTCCAAAACCCTCCTTAAACCCTAGTTGTTTTGGACTCGTCTCGTCATTCCGGTTCAACTCACTGACCCACCTCCCAACTCGTCCTCACCATGCCTCCTCAATCTCATCCCCAATTCGGTCAGCCCTTGACTCGAACTACTCGTCGAAGAGGAGTAGCAGTAACGAACCCAGGGAGACGATAATGTTACCGGGCTGTGACTTTAACCATTGGCTCATCGTCATGGAGTTCCCCAAAGACCCCGCACCTACCAGAGAGCAGATGATTGATACCTACCTCAACACTCTCGCTACTGTCCTGGGAAGGTTCGCTCTTTACCCCTTTCAAAATAAATTTTCTTCTTGCTCTGTTTGGTTGCTGAGAAAATGTGGGAAAATAAAATTCATGTCTTTAAAATTTCAATATTAGTTAGAATTAACTTGAAAAGCTAGATGTCCAATATTTTGTTATAAATTCGATTGTTTGTTTTCAGTCTTTTCTAAATTCAATGATTTGAAAGCAACAAAAAAGAAGGAAAAATTGGGGCCAATTTGATATGATTATTTCGCTTTAGATGAAGTAGTGCACAAAAGAAGGAAAATTTGAAGAGCATCTGAGATAGACAGTTTGAATTTTTCATGGTTGCTCAACTTTTGAGATACAAAATGATAATAAGGGCCAAGAAATATGATTAATAAATGGAAAAAGCAATGAACTTTTTTAGAAAGGATCCCAATTAATGACAAAATATACCACACTGGCTTTTTTTCTCATCTAATTGTGTGTTTGCTTTGATGACAGCATGGAAGAAGCAAAGAAAAATATGTATGCTTTTAGCACCACTACTTACACTGGATTCCAGTGCACTGTATCTGAGGAAACATCGGAGAAATTCAAAGGTTTGTAGATATAACAAGTGCTTGCTTGTTCAATAATCTGTTTCCAAGTTGATTACTGAAATTTGAACGTTACAAGCTTTATTATTCATTTTGTAGGACTGCCGGGAGTTCTTTGGGTGTTGCCTGATTCATACATAGATGTTAAAAATAAGGATTACGGAGGTCAGTTTGCTCAACTTATTTGTCAAATCGGGAGATAATTAGATAAATGTTTTGTTGACATTATAATTTTACTTTTTTGTTTTGTTTTTTAGGTGATAAATATATAAATGGGGAGATAATTCCAAGCACATACCCTACTTACCAACCCAAGCAACGTGGACCATCTAAATATGAGAGCAGAAGATATGAAAGACGAAGAAATGGCCCTCCTCCTGAACGGAGAAGGCCGAAGCCAGAAGCAACTCAGTCTGAATCAGCCTCCAGATGAGGTACTCGTTCTGTATTTACATGTCTATGCATACCTTGGAGATATATCTTATGGCTTTGATTGTGACTATTTTTGTATCATCTTTGCTTGACAGTTTTAAATGTTTGACTGCTAACTTGCTAAGTGGTTGGTGCTCTATTAACCTGGACATATAGCCATTACTTATGTAATAGAAAATCTATGGTACTAGCACATGTTTCCAAAATTTGTGAAAAGTTTGAGGTTTTTTTTCATTTGGATGGAAAAAAGAGCTTGTTAGCCTTATTATAGGTGAAACTAGACATTGACTGGGTGGAATGTATTTAATCTCTCTTGCTCTCTGATATTTGGTAATTTCACTATAAAATATTTTCAAACACATGAGACAGCATCATGAGGGTTGTGTTGCTTTTGATTTGGAAATCAATTCTTTGGTGCAAAAGACAATTTGGGACCCCTTTTCTAAACCAAAAAAGTTTCATAGCTTGTGTGATTTGAAAATTAAAAGTCAGTAATGATAGGGTGTTGTCAAATTCACTTTGTGGAAATTGTGCTGCACTAGCCTAAGTGCTTCCTCAACATCCTAGGCATGTGCCTAAGCTCATTTTCAATATTGATGTACTTAGAATCATATTTGGCAATGATTCAACATTGTAGATTGTACATTTCTCAAAGCCATCTAAGCTATATTCTAGAGGGTGAATTCTTTCATCTTGGTAAGAACCCAATCTTTTATCTTTGCTTCGTTGTCTTCCTAGAATCTGTTGTCTTAACCCGTAATGGCTCGCAAGCCCACAATCCTTTTCATATTGTGCCTTGCTTTATTATTTCAGGGAGAACCTCTAGTGCCGGTAAATAAAAACTCAAGCTTTTCTCCATCTTCTCCATCTCCAAATTGATGTCCTTTATTTGTTTTCTGTCTCTTTGATACCAGAAGAACAGTTCACATAGGGAGAACTCAAGCAGGATCTATCTTCTTTTTTCCCTGATAATTATTCTGGATTAGGAAATCCATTAGTATGTTATCAGTTTTGTAAATCAGTTTTCTCAGCTTTATGGTTGTCTTAAATACTTTCCTTCTTCCTGTTGTGGTTGCTTTTAACTCTCAAGGGATTGGCCTAGTGGGTGCAACTTAAGACCTAGGGGTGTGCTCTCTCCAAGTCACAGGTTCAACTCTCATTAGAAGCAATCCACTCTTTGGGGTCACGCCTGCGGATTTTGCCCAAGATTTGCCCAATCCTCGTGGAGGGGTTGGCTTAGTTGGTGCAACTTGAAACTTAGGGGTGTGCTCCCTGTAAGTCACAGGTTCAACTCCCATTTGGAGCAATCCACTCTTCGGGGCCACGTCTACGGGTTCTGCCTGAGATTTGCCCAATCCACGTGGAGGGGCGCTTTGTGTGAGTCCCGGGATTAGTCAAGTTGCATGTAAGCTGATCCGGACACTCGGTCATCAAATAAAAAAATAGAGTAGGATTTCATGAGACTGCACCCTCATCTTCTCAAACTGGCCTGTGAATTCAAGTGCAAATCAGGTATGGTTCATGATAGGACAAGTGTGACCACATGAACTACTACAAGCACTCCAACAATCACATAATGGTCGCATCTGATTAAATCTTTTAACCGCATAATAATGTCAAGCTTTTCTTAGTTTGTTCTTTCCCTGTCTTCTAACTAATCAAACGAAATCAAATCAAACCAAGTCTTAAGTCTCATTAAATGGGATTGGTTATATGAATCTTTCTTCTCCACTTGACTCAACTCTATTCAAGGTCATTTCGTTAGTCAAATCAAAGAGATTCATATCTTTATTTATTATAATAATTCACGTCAATTTAGGTCTATCTCTTTCCCGTAACGAAGGAGTTAGCATTTTCTTTTTTCTTGTGCTTCAAGAAGAGCAGCTTGGAACAATCGTCTGTCTGAGTCATGCAGAGACAGGCACCTTAACCGAAGGAAGGAACTACGAATATTCTCTCAGAGACTAAAGCTATCTATCAATGGAAAAACCTCTTCGCAAAGTCTTGTATCCTGTAGATTATCTAATCGAGAAATCCCTGAATGAACATTTTGCATGTTTAGAAACCAGATGGATGTGCCTCTTTTGTTTGATTGCATTTAAAGTGTTTAAACTTTATTATTTTTAATATTCGCCTTTGATATTTTGATTGCAGATGAATAGTGCCTTTGATATCTTGTATCTCAACTGTTTTTAAGTATTTTTCTATATAGTTAGGTCCTGGTAACTAGCACCTAATGAGTTTGTTAAAGTTCAAATAATATCGAGAGGTAAAATTTTAGGCTCCGTTTGGTTAGGGTTTTAAATTATAGTTTCACCCATTGATTTGAGTTTCAAATTATAGTTTCATCCATTAATTTGAATGTATTGTTTGTTTTGAATTTTCAAATTATAATTCTACACTCATTTTTCAAAACTCAATTCAAAACATAATCATTACTTTTTAAAACTCATAACTAAACACATAATTCAAAACTCTTTTCAAAACTTAATTCAAATCAATATTTTAACTTTTAAAATTTTTTAAATATTTAAATATTTTAGAAGTATTTTAATTTTGTTAAGATTTTTAATATTTTAATATTTAAATATGTTATGATTTTTTTAATTTTTTGAATATTTTTAAATATTTAAATTTCAAAATATTATGATTTTAATTTTTTAAATTTTAAATTATTTTATAAAAATAAATTCAAACTCTATTTTATAAAAATATTTTTAAATATTTTAATTTTTTTGTTATGTATTTGGTTACGATTTGAGTGCTAGAGTTGTTTAAAAATAGTATGGAGTTATCGTGTTTTTATGAGTTTTAAAAATAATTTCTTTAATTGAGTTTTGTTTTATGTGTTTGGTTACCATTTGAGTGTAGAGTTGTTTTTTAAATTTAAATATTAACATTTTAAATTATTTCTTTTTGATTATTTTAATTTTTTGAATATTTATTTTAATTTTTTACTTATTAAATTTTTTAGATTATTGAAATTATTTAAATATTTATGATTTAAATTTTTTGAATATTTATTTTGAAAAAAAATTATTTCCTTTGTAGTATTTTCAATTAAAAAATTGATTAATATTATTTTCTGTTAATAATAAATTTTTTTAATTGAATTTTAAAAAGAGTTTGATTATGAGTGTTGATCAGAATTTTTAATAGTATGAAAGTAGTATGTTTTGTTATGAGTTATAACAATTTGAATTAAGTTTTGAAAACTCTTTTCAAAACTCATAACCAAATAAATTTTCTTACTTCACATGTCAAATTAAATTTTCAAAATTCAATTCCATACTCAGCTCAAAACTCAATTCAACACTCTCTTTTAAAACCATAACCAATCAAATTTTCTACACTTAAATCATAATTTCACAACTCACAAATTCAAAATACAACTCATATTCTCAATCATATTTACAAAATTTTACCAAACACACCTTAATATACATCTATATATTTCTCATATTTTAATATTTTTAAATATATTTTGATCTCAATCTGTTGGGTTAAGCCTTTTGATCAGTAAATGAGCTCGCCACATTAGCCTACTTGAGCCATCATCTGTGGGGCATCATTATTTCCCCACGGGCCGACCCATCATTTCAGGCACCATTTTATGGGTCGGATCTGAAGCCGACCTCTATGAGGGTGGGTGAGGAATGTCTGGGGCAAATTAGGGTATCACATGAGTCTCAACAAATCTCAACAAATGTAGATTTTGGTTAAATATAACTAACAAATCATAAATTCTTATTCCATCGGCGTCAACAAATTATTTCTAAATTAATTTTTAGTTAACTTTGTTACGGTATATGGCTACATGTAGTGATACACTGTTTATCGGTTACATAATATTTTATCATTTACTTATCAAAAAAAAAAAAATCATTTAGAGTGACTGGATATCCTACCGAACGATTGGCTGCTGCACAATTTTTTTTATTTATTATTTTTTTTGGAATATAAAATTGCATAGATATGATAACAATATAGGAGCTTTTCATGACTGGCCGGGCAAACTGGGCATTTTTTTTTTTTTTTTTGGGGGAGAATATGAAACTGCATATACACACACATATATATATACTAACGGTTGCTACACGCGATGCGTGTGCAATTCAAATAAATAAAAATAAAATAAAACATTTATCATATAGTTAAGTGGTAAGAGTCTTATTCATTTGACATAAGTCTAAGGTTCAAATTCCCTCATCTCATCTATCTAATTTTTTTTATTTCAAATAAAAAAATAGACGCGTAGCAGCATAAGAAACAAAGGTTTCAAAACACCATAAGGGGTGTTCACTTGATAGATAGATAGATAGATAGATAGATATAAAATAAAACATTTATCATATGTTGTATGCTAGTTAAGTGGTAAAAGTTTTATTCATTTGACATAAGTCTAAGGTTCAAATTCCCTCCACTCATCTATCTAATTTTTTTTTATTTCAAATAAAAAAAAATAGACACGTGGCAGCATAAGAAACAAAGGCGTCAAGGCACCATAATTTTTATTTCAAATAAAAAAATAGACACGTGGCAGCATAAGAAACAAAGGTTTCAAGACACCATAAGGGGTGTTCACTTTATAATAGTACTAGTGGGTGGCACACACGATGTGTGTGCAATTTAAATAAGTAGGAATAAAAAAAAATAATAATGAAATTAATATTATAATGTATACTTAGCTTAAGTGGTATGAGTCCTCGTACTTAAACCCATGGTCATAGGTTCAAGCTTTGCCTATCTCTTTGTTTAACTTTTTTTTAAAAAATAAAAAATACTGCCACATGACATGAGGAGAGTAAAGCTTCAAGACACCATAAGAGGTGTTCCCTTTATAATAGTATAGATAGATAGATAGAAGATAGAGAGATAGATAGATAGAAGAAGATATATATATATATATATATATATATATATATATTAACAAAACAAAATTAGCAACTTCTAGCTATTTTTTAATAATACAAAATGAATATTTTATAAAATTAAATTTTATAATAAAGAGTCTGATGAAATATTTATAGAAAAAAATGTTATAATTTCTTTATTATAATTTGATTTAAAATTTACAAGCTGATACGAATCCTCTAAACCTAGGGAAAGTAGCGATACTTTTGTTCTTGTTCTTGTTCTTGTTCTTGTTCTTGTTTAAGAGTTTAGATTTTCTCCAGCCAACCTCTCCCAAGCCTTCCTCTGGTCAAGGACTAGGATTTGATCACGTCATTTTAGATCGGATCTACGGCTTAGATCAAATTAGCTTTAAAAAAAAACAAATTGAATTCATTACACAGCAAAACAGAGCTTCCTTCCCATTCACTTTTCCCCTCC